GGGTCACTTTAAGGCCAGCCTGGGCAAAAGTGAGACCTTATGTGAAAAATGGCTAAAAACAAAAAGGCGGTAAAGTATCTGCCTAGCAAGTGCAACGCCCTGCATTCAAGGAGAAGGAGAAGAAAAAAAAAAGGAGAAGGAGGAGGAAAAAAAAGGAGAAGGAGGAGAAAATGCAGCAAATTTAAAAATTTTTATTTTTGGCAATACCACAGATTGAACTCAAGGCCTCAAGTTCGCCAGGCAGGCACTCTGACACGTAAGCCACACCTCTAATCCTCTGTCATCTATTTTTTAAAGGTAATTTTATAAGTGTAGTAAAGCAATTTTTTTTTAATTCTTTTTTTTTAGTAGTTTAGAAAGTATTCAATTTTCATTTTAGAAAACTTGGAAAACACTGAAAAGCCCACAGAACAATCAAAAGGACCTTTTACCCACATCTTTCACCCATGTCTTGGCAATGACCACAGGGAATGACCACCTCAGGCACTGCCCCAGCCCTCTGTCACACAGCTAGTCTTCTACAAGGGCGAACTTCCACTGCCCATACAGCACAGTCCTTGAGATTTTGGTTCCTGTGACCTACTCACACCTGGGTCACCCTCTTCTTCTACAATGTGACCTGATGCTGCCTAGCAGTGCATTGTCCTGCGAGAACGTTGGCAAATTTTCAATTACATTTGCTGAAACATGCTTTTGTTATTTCCCTACCCCAAGAAGCTGTTAATCCAGACTCTCTCTGCCTATCATTATAAGGAGTCAGTAGCTGCCTGGGGAGACATCACAGCTCCCTGGACTGATGGTGACTTAGTGTCTAGAATTTCGGGCATGTCCTATGTTTGGAGCCATATTGGGTTCCAAAGGGATATTACCAGCTAGGTTAGCTTTGGAGTAGCTCAGTGGCTTTCTATTCCAAGGCAAGGAGCAGGATTGGTGGTGAATGGAGGCAGGGAGGTGAGGACCAGCTAGGCAGCAGGGACCAGGATGGAGAACCCCACACATACTATAGATGGGCGTTATGGACGGGCATAGTCCCAGTGGCAAAGCAGAAAAGTTTAAAAAATGTTTTGGTGGGGGTCTCTCTATGTTGCTCTGGTTGGCTTCTAATGCCTGGGCTTAATGTCTTCAGATGCTTGTTTTTGCCTGGTGAAAACCTGGGGGCCCAGCCCCACCCACAGGCAGGAAAGATTTAAGGGAACAAAGTGGCAGGAGAGAGCCCAGCCTTACCCAAGGCCTGAGGAGTGCTTGGGCACAGCAGAGGGTCAGCAAAAGCCACACCTGGGGTGGGCCCTGAGCACCTGAGGCTGGCCCAGCCCACCAGGTGTTGTGCAAGAGGGTGGCCTGTGCTGAGCAGGAGATGGAGGTGGTAGCTGGGATCCCGTAGCTCAGGCCAAGTGGCTTCAGTTTCCCCAAGTGCAAAGGGTGATAAGGAGACCTTTGAGGGGTGGACACCTTCTTTCTTAGAGTCACCAAGCCTCCATGGAGTCCAGACTGGAACGCAGGCCCTGCCATCCCTGCTTGGGGGTTTTTCTCTCCACGCTGCATCTCCAACAGAGCCCACTACTCCACTGCCAAGGGCCCCTACACCTCCAAGCACAGCCAGGCTTACTGAAGCCCTTTCCTGGGCAGACCCTTAAAGGCTCTTTCACGTTGAAGTGCTAAGTAGGGCTGAGAAGCGAGCCCTGGAGACACCCCAAGGCACTGGCAGCACTGAGGTGGGGTTTCCCCAAAATACCCAGTTCTTCAGGTGCCACAAACTGGCTCTGTTTGTTGAGGGGGGTGGTGTTTGGAATTAGAGGTCAAGGACATGACAAAGGAGAAGGTTTGTATAGTTAAGAGAAGGCTGAGAGCTAGGTGAGATGACACATGCTGTAATCCCAGCTACTTGGAAAGCTGAGGCAGGAAGATAGCAAGTTCAAGACCAGCCTGGGCAATTTATCAAGTCCTTGTCTTAAAAAAAAAAAAAAAGGAAAATAAAAAGAAAGGAAGGAAGGAAAAGAAATGTCTGGGTTTGCTAAGGTATCCAATCTCTCCTTCAGATAATCTAAACTATTTGCTTTAAGCAAGAGGATTTTCCTCTAGCCCCTCTGGGGTCAAGAGGCAGGGAAGCTGGAACTAGCTTTCTCCATTACTCCACCGCCACCCCAGCCTCAGGTCCCAGTCACCAAACTTCCTCCCTTGGTCCCTTGCCCTGGGCACCTGTTAGCAACATTGAAGGGAAGAATTGCAGAATCCTCCCTAAGCGTGCAAGCAGCCTTCATCCAGCCTAACCTTCTCTGAGTTTGAGGAGGGCTGTCGGTTCTTTGGCTGTGCTGCCCTGAACCCCTCAATCCGTCTGATCTTACAAGCTAAGCAGGCTTAGGCCTAGTTAGTAGCTGGATGGGTGGAAGGGCTACCTGCTCAGACAGAGTGAACACCCTGGGTGCTGACCTTGCAAGTGAGTAGAGACCTGAAGACCAAGGTGAAGGCTGAATCCTCACATTACATTAACTGTCTGAAAACGTATGAACAAACATCTTGGATAGGATGACCGGGCTGATTCCACTTTCAAAGGGATGGGTGGGGCCTGTCTTCTAGGGAACACTGCCTACCAAACATCACTGGGTACCTGTGGGGGTCCCACCTGTAATCCCAGCTCCTCGGGAGCCAGAGATCAGGAAGATCACGGTTCAAAGCCAGTCCCAAATAGTTTGAGAGACCCTATCTCAAAAACACCCAACACAAGGGTTGTGGAGTAGCTCAAGTGGTAGAGCACCTGCTTAACAAGTGCGAGGCCCTGAGTTCAAACCCCAGTACCACAAAAACAAACTAGCAAATAAATAAATAAATCACCCAGGAAGACTGTGGGGGAAGAAGTAGACATATAAACGGAGGACCCCACCCCAACCACATGGTGACCCTGTACAGGCTTGGGATCACCGCCACACATGGCATCTCCTTCCTGGGTTTTCTGCCATGAAGGAATATTCCATCAATGCATATTGAAAGACAGTCTGTCAAGCCTCTCTGGATAGGACTCCTGAAAAAAATCAGTGATACAAAAAAAAAAAAAGTTATAAGCTGGGCACTGGTGGCTCACACCGGTAATCCTAGCTACTCAGGACGCAGGGGTCAGGAGGATTGTGGTTTGAAGCCAGCCTGGGCAAATAGTTCTAGAGATGCTATCACGAAAAAGCCCTTCACAAAAATAGGGCTGGTGGAGTGGCTCAAGGTGAAGGCCCTGAGTTCAAGCCCCAGTACTGCAAAAAAAAAAAAAAAAAAAAAAGGATAGGGCCTATTCCAGAATAAAGGACACTGAGAGCTATGACAGCCATATGCAAAGCATTCTGGGAACAGGTGGGGAGGTGTATGGATTCATATCAGATGGTCATTTGCAAACATTCCCACTGCATTGGAGCTCTTTAAGGGAATGACCTTGTCCTAAGGAGATGTCCCTAGAAATAGCATGGGTCATATTGTCATATGAGCTGAACTAATTAATTACAAAAACAAACTCTAAAATTTTTGTAAAAGCAAGGTCTTTTCATTCACACAAGAATAGAAATCTAGCCAGGTGTGGTGGCACAGACCTGTAATTCCAGTTACTCAGGAAGCAGACAGGGAAAAATAGTAACAATTCTTTTTTTTTTTGCAGTGCTGGGGCTTGAACTCAGGGTCTACTCCCTGAACCACTAGCCCTTTTTGTATTAGGTATTTTTGAGATAGGGTCTCATGAACTATTTGTCCAAGCTGGCTTTGAGCCATAATTCTCCTGATCTCTGCCTCCTAAGTAGCTAGGATTACAGGCATGAGCCACTGGCTCAGATCTGAAATATTTCCAACTAAAAAATTGAGGAAAGAGACTGGTGGAATGACTCAAGCAGTAAGAGTGCCTGCCTAGCAAGTGTGAGCTCCTGAGTTCAAATCCTAGTGCTGCAATAAATAAATAAATAAAAGTTGAGGAAATATCTATGAAGATTTACCAGATGTTAATAGTGGTTGAATCTAGGCAACGGAATTGCAGGCAGTTTTTCTTTCTCTTTTCCTATATTGACTGGACCTGAGCAGGTACTAGCTTTTTTTTTTTTCTTTTAATGGTAGCACCAAGGTTTGAACCCAGGACCTCACACATGCTAGGCAGGTGTTCTTACTGCTTGAGTCACTCTGCCAGCCGTTTTTTTGTGATTTTTTTTTTTTTTTTTTTTTGAGATAGGGTCTCTTGAACTATTTGTCCTGGGCTGGCTTCGAACCATGATCCTCCTGATCTCTGACTCCTGAGTAGCAGGAGTTATGGGTACGACTCACTGGTGCCCAGGTAACTTTCAAAAAAATTGTTCAGAATTTTAGAATTTTCTGCTCAGAATTAATTTTTCACTTTCAAAAACATTTCATATTTTATCGAAATTTTAGCTTGAGGCTGGGAGAAAAGCATGTACTTAGTATGAGCCAGGTCCTGGGTTCAATACCCAGCACCCCCCCAAAAAAAATTATTTTTAGCTTAAAAAAGGAAGCACTGAGCCAGGCATGGTGGTACATGCCTATAATTTCAGCACTTAGCAAGCTGAGGCTAGCCTGGTCTACATAGTGAGACGCTATCTCAAAAAAAAAAAAAGATTTGAGGTTTTTTTCTAGGCTTTTTATACATGCCTAAAGGGGACAAGAACTTCACAATGATTCCCCCAAATAATGACTAATTCAAACACCCTCCACCCTGACCCCACCAGCTAGGTGGGGACCATGACCAGAATGAAAGTGACCTGTTGGCTGGTGGGGCCCAAGGTCTCCACACTCTTTTTCTCTTCCCCACACTTCTGTTTTTTTTTTCCTTTTTTTTTTTGGTGCTGGGGACCGAACTCATGGCCTTACACTTGCCAGGCAAGCGCTCTTCCACTGAGCTAAATCCCCAACCCCTCTTCCCCACACTTCTGGAAGTCAGAGCCCCAGAGGCAATGACAACAGGCTCCTGAAATAAAGCCGAGTTCTGACCCAAGCCAGGGGCCCCGAAGGGCTGGGAAAACCCCATGGCCTCCAGAGCTGGCTGTTGCACCCTCCCCCAGTGCAGCTGGCCCCAGAAGCTGCTTAAGCTGGGGTCCTCAGAGGGGACCCCCATGCTCTCATTGCTCCCCTCCCCTCCCCCACACTTACTAGACTGACAGATGCAGGTGCTCAGGAGACAGGTGGGCGGTGCCAGCAGCCATGGGGTTAATGGTCCTGGCAGGGGCTCTGTGTGGGAAGCAGGGGTCGGATGTCCCTCTGGGATGGCGACCGGCATGCATGCTGCTATTCCAGGGCTCTGATCACCGCTGTCTATTTATAGTGCTAGGGGGGAGGCTCCCCACACAGGCAGCAGAGAGGCTGCCCTGCTGCAATGTCACCATCGTCACTGCCACTGCAGGCTGCCTGCATCTGCCACTGCCGCAGAGGACGGAGGGGCCTCAGCCCAGTAGAACCCCAGGGCTGCTGGGCACTGCGTGAGGCCAGGAGGTGGCAGGGCAGATGGGCAGCACCATGGAGCCCCCAGGGGGCGCATACCTGCACTTGGGCGCTGTGACGTCACCGGTGGGCACAGCCCGTGTGTTGCAGCTGGCCTTTGGCTGCACTACCTTCAGCCTGGTTGCCCACCGGGGCGGTTTCGCAGGTGTCCAGGGCACCTTCTGCATGGCTTCCTGGGGTTTCTGCTTTGCTCTCTCCGTCTTGATAGTGGCCTGTGAGTTCACAAGACTCCACGGCTGCCTGCGCCTCTCCTGGGGCAACTTCACAGCGGCCTTTGCCATGCTGGCCACATTGCTGTGCGCCACAGCTGCTGTCATCTATCCACTGTACTTCACCCGGCTGGAGTGCCCACCCGAGCCTGCAAGCTGCATGGCCCGGAACTTCCGCCTGGCAGCCAGTGTCTTCGCTGGACTCCTCTTCCTGGCCTACGCTGCAGAGGTGGCCCTAACACGGGCCCGGCCCGGCCAGGTGGCCAGCTACATGGCCACAGTGTCGGGGCTTCTCAAGATTGTTCAGGCCTTTGTAGCCTGCATCATCTTTGGAGCACTAGTCTATGACAGCCGTTACGGACGCTATGTAGCCACCCAGTGGTGCGTGGCTGTTTACAGCTTATGCTTCTTGGCCACAGTGGCCGTGGTGGCCCTGAGTGTGATGGGTCACACAGGAGGCCTGGGCTGCCCATTCGACCGTCTGGTGGTGGTGTACACCTTCCTCGCTGTACTCCTGTACCTCAGCGCTGCTGTCATCTGGCCGGTCTTCTGTTTTGACCCCAAGTACGGGGAGCCTGGGCGGCCCCTCGACTGTCCCCGAGGCAGCTGTCCCTGGGATAGCCAGCTGGTGGTAGCCATTTTCACCTACGTCAACCTGCTTCTCTACATCATCGACCTTGCCTACTCCCAGAGGATTCGTTTTGTGCCCACCCTGTAGCCTGGCAAGCAGCAGCCCATCCACCTCTGCTCTTTGGCCCAAGGGCATGTGAGGGTGACCAGGTGAACCAAGACCTCAGGGGCAAATAAGAGGGAGGCCAAGGGCTCAGTGCAGTTGCAGCTCAATGGTGAGAGGCTGCTCCTGGACTTCCCATAGCTCTCTGAGACTGGGTTTTGGGAGAAACAGAGGAAGGACAGATGGGCAGGAGTCCCTGGGAAGAGAACAAGGCAGTTCATGGGCTTTCTTCTTATCTGTCTCTTTCTCTCTTTCTCTCTTTGTCTCTATCTCTACTTCTATCTCTCTCAATTTCCTGGCCTTCCCTGGGCTCAGTGCTGGTCACTAACATGTGGAAACCCTTTGGAGCAGGTGCTGTTGTAACCCATTTTGCAGATGGGGACAATGAGGCTAGATGGACTTTAGAGGTGGCCTATTATGTTCATCAGTGTCTGGAGGCTGAGTAATATAAACTGGAAAAGGGTCAATTTTCAGAGGAGTAGGAGGGGCCAAAAACAAGTCTTGGAGAGTACTGAGGCTAGCCCATTGGAGGGATGTGCAGAGCTGGAACCTCCTACTTGTTCCCAGAACCCTGGGAGGAGAGCTGTTGCTCAGTGGCTGTGCCAACTCGAAGAGGCGCTCAGAAATCAGGACCTGACCTCACTGGCCTCTGGGGAGTGTCCTGGTGGCCACAGACATTGGAAGCAGAGTGAGGACTGTACTGTGGCTGCCCAGGGCTGCCTCCACAGCGCTGGTGGACTGGAAGGGCCTGCCGAGGCCAGCAGTGTGCCAAGGAGACGGGTTCTGACCCAGTGGTGAAGTCCTGCCCAGATGCCCGTCATAGGCCATGAACCAGCAGCTCTTGCAATGCCTACCATAGGTCTGGGAGGCTAGCCTGCACTAGCTAGCCAGGCTAGTTAGTGCAGGCAGCACTAACACAGGATGCAGGCCTGGCCTGGGGCAGCCACTGTGACATGGAGCCTGGACACCAGGTACCTCTGCTCAAGTAACTAGTTGCCTGGATGATCCCAAATATGAGAGCCTGCTGGTGCCATCATCCTCCATGCTCCCATCAGCTTCTACTGCACAAGCCCAGACTGGACCAGGCCCACTGGCCACTTGGAGCCAAAGCATCATGGGCAGAATCTCAGCAGCCCCTCAACCCATTGACTGGCCTCCAAGGTCCTTGCACAGGAAATAAATGCAGATGTTCATTTACACCCTGGCTCTGATAAGCAGTCTTTCCTGAGGAGCTGTGGCCAATGGCACCTCTGGGCCACCCTCCCCCTGCATGCTCTGGGAGAAGGGCCTAGACCAGGTCCTGGCTGAGACAGGATGTGGCCCTGGGGGTACCCCAAGTTCTGGGGGGCAGGTAAGGCTGGGCCTTCCTCCTAAGGAGACAAGAGGCAGGCAGTGTCCTCTCCCTTGCTAAATGACAGGACAGAGTGCCTCAGAAGGCCAGTAGGAAAAAGAAGGGTCAGGGTCGATCTCATCCTCTTCCTTTCTAGAGGCACTCTGGACACACCTGGGTGTTTCTAGGCACTGACAGAGGGGCTGCGCACTTTCTGTGCAGTGGAATTCATGCAGCTTTTAGGCTCTGAGGGCCCCCAGTCAGGCCACATGTGGCACCATGTTAGTCAAGTGGCCTTTGCTGGCCGACTGGAGTGGGCACATTTGGGTGTGCTAACAAACAGGGTCTGAACTGATGTGTTTTTCTTAGGGGAAGTGGGGGCAGGCAGCTGCTGGGTTGGTAGGCATCCTGAAGGCCTCTGCTGGCTGAGAGGGTTTGGGTCCGGCGGCCACATCACCACCCAGTAACAAAGGAGCAATGGGCCACACCCATCCCGACTTACGGGGAGGCCTGGACACTATCTGGAAAAGGAATCTGCTCTTTTCTTTCATTTCTTTGCTAGCCCAAACTCTGGAACAAGTTATCTGCCACCAAGTCTGCAACTTTCTCACTGTCCAGTGGTCTTCCACCTCTAGCATCCCCACTCAACCTAAATTTCAGAGGTCCTGAGGGACGACAGAGGAAGGGAGGGGATAGGGCTCATGAGGAGAATGGAAGGGCTTCAGGGGCTCCCTGGACCAGAGGGCTGTCTTTGTTTTGTTTTAAGGGGAGTAGTATATACTGTTATCACTTGAAAAAAGTAAGTCTTGAAGTAGGGAGCTCTGCTCTCAAAAGGTAATGAACTCCTAGGCTTTGTGTCATGGGCTTGAACTGTTAACTTGGGACAGGTACTTATTCCAGCCCCGTCCTTGGACAGTGAGGACCAAATTCATCTGACCAGTCTCCTAGTGGGAGCAGTTGGTGTAGGTATCATGTGTCAAGGAGAGGAGAACCAGGTGGATAAAAAAATCAAACTTTGCCTCCATGGCAAAAAAAAAAAAAAAAAAATCATTCTGCAATTACCTTCGGAAGCATTTGTCCTCATCTAAGATACAGAACAGTCAAAATCGGCCACTTCTGCCCTCACCAAGGTGGGGGATGGGCTGTCCCAGTAATCACTTTTAGTTGGCCCATTGTACAAGCTTCTGAGGATCCCAGACTGCTCTGTAACCCAAAAAAAAAAAAAAAAAAAACAGGCAGATGGACCTAGGCACATCCTGAGGAATGGGGACTGACCATAGCTTATTCCCCTAAAATCCAGTACTCTGCAGACAGAAGTCAGGGATTGGGGAGGTGGGGCACTACAGGTTCATCTCCCCAAATTACAAGCTGAATACCACCTGTCTGGAGGACGCTTGGAGTATAGCAGGCCTGTGTCCGCAGAGGATACCCAGCTCTCAAAGGGCACCGGCGAAGAGACGCTACAGAGAGACCCACCGGGTGGGGAAGAGAGAGTCAGTTTCCACTTCTCGGCTAGCGCGGGGAAGGTAGGGCTAACCCAGGATCCTGAGGATGACGCAATGCCAGGGGCTCCAGTCTTGGCTTCCGATTGGCCAGCGCGCGGCGGCCGCACCGTGGATTGGCTGAGAGAGCGAGGGCGGGGGCGTGGCCGGCGGGTGCCGCGTGGCGGTTGCAGTGCTGTAGCTGGAAGAGCCGCGTTCAGGTAGCGGGAATTGCTCCACCCAGGTAGCAGCGGCTGGGGGCTTAGGGGAGATGGGTTGGGGGCTCTGGCGTGGAGGGGGCCTCTGGGCGCTGGGCGCTGGGTCCTCCCCTATTCTCAGTCGCTTCTCTTGCTGCTTCTCGACCCCTTTCAGAGGACTCAGGCTTTTGAGCAACAGGACAGGGACTGCAGTCTGGGCAGGAGGACCGGGATGGTTTCTGGGTGGGGGCGGACCGGCAATAACAGGAAAAGTTAGGTCGGCTGCGACCGGGGTGAGGGACGCCCAGCTTCCAGAAGAGTGACCAGGCCTGGTACTGCCCATCTAACTTCCTGCCATCCATTCTGCCTGTCTTCCCCCAGCTGCCTTGCAGAACCCTTGCCAGCTTTGAGGGCTGTAGGTGCTGGGCCTCCAGACATCATGAGCGTGGGCTTCATTGGGGCTGGCCAGCTGGCCTTTGCCCTGGCCAAGGGCTTCACAGCAGCAGGTAGACCCTGGGGCCAGGGAGGGGGCTGAATGGGAGGGACTGGGAGCTGAAGGGAGGGGCTGGGTTACAGGGCCTGATTCCTGTGGGAAATGACACTTGCCATATGTTCAGGGTTGCTGACTTACTCTGGGGCAGGGTGTAGAAGTTCTCTCCAGTCATCTTCCTGAGAATGTGGGGAGCAAGGCCAGAACTGGATTGGAGGGAGGAACTTTGTCCCCTGCAGGTGTCCTGGCTGCTCACAAGATAATGGCCAGTTCCCCAGACATGGATCTGACCACCGTTTCTGCTCTCAGGGTAGGTGCTGGGTGAAGGGTCAAAGTCAGCACTGACAGTGATGAGCCTTGGGTGGAATAAGAGGCTGTGCTGTAGACCCCTGCTCCAGTGAGAGGAGCCATCCTAGGCTGGGGTATCTCCAGACCCTGTCTTCTCACCCTGCTCATCATGAGTATGGCTGGTGGGAGAGGGTGCTGGTCTGGAATAGGGTTCCCTGGATGAGGTTAAAGTTTGAGTAGGAGTCACTGCAGAAGCCCTTTGGGGACCAGGCAGGTGGAGGCCAGACAAGACACACCTGGGGTGAAATACAGCTTCAGTTTGCCATGGCTGAGAGAGCTCAGGTCCAAGAGTGATGGTTGGCTCCCTGCTTGACATTACCACCTATACCTGGAGGGCAGAGGTCTCTGGATGCTGCAGCCAAAGGTGGGGTGAGCCAGGGCTATAGCTTGGATACAATGTCCCTTTTCTGTCTACAAAAGGGACACGTTTTCCAGAACAGAATGCTTCTTTCATTTCTGGGTAAGAAGGGCAGCTAAGGGGGTTCTGAGCCCTCAGCCTAGCCTATACCCAGCAGCCCCTGGGCTGTTCTACATATAGGACTCCTGGCTTGGTGGGGAGGCCAGGCTCTGTGAGCAGACAGCCCCTGAGGCAGGCTGAGATGCCTTGTACTCTTGTAGAAGATAGGGGTGAACCTGACGCTGCACAACAAGGAGACCGTGCAGCACAGTGACGTGCTCTTCCTTGCTGTGAAGCCACACATCATCCCCTTCATACTGGATGAGATTGGTGCTGATATTGAGGACAGGCACATAGTGGTGTCCTGTGCAGCTGGTGTCACCATCAACTCCATTGAGAAGGTGTGTGCTGTCGGCCAGGCCCATAGTGGGTGGAGTGAGTGGTCAGGGGATCTGCTCTCAGTGCCTGGGTTCTCTGTCTATGATTGGGGTATGGTGGCCTGGCTTATGGAAATGCTTGGTTGGGGGTGTATGTCCATACACATACCCACCTGGTATGAGAGCAGATGGCTGAGGCCAGGCGAATGTACCCATTTCTCCTCCAGAAGCTGACAGCATATCGGCCAGCCCCCAAGGTCATCCGTTGCATGACCAACACCCCAGTTGTGGTGCGAGAGGGGGTCACCGTATATGCCACAGGAAGTCATGCCCAGGTGGAGGACAGCAAGCTGGTGGAGCAGCTCCTTGGCAGTGTGGGCTTCTGCACAGAGGTGGAGGAGGATCTGATTGATGCAGTCACAGGGCTCAGCGGCAGTGGCCCTGCCTATGTGAGGGCTGGGATCAGTGGGTGGCAGCTGGGCAGTTCCAGGGCTTCTGGATACTTCTGTCCTTGGCTCCTCTGGGAGAGCTGGAGTGGGGGCTCCGAGCCTGAGGGAACTGGTGCTTTTTCCTGCTCCATCCTGCTCCTTACTCTAGGCCCCAGAGGAGGAGCAGAGACTGTAGCAGTGTCTCAGGGTGCCTTCTCCCCATAGGCATTTACAGCCTTGGATGCTCTGGCTGATGGTGGTGTGAAGATGGGGCTTCCACGACGCCTGGCAGTCCGTCTCGGGGCCCAGGCCCTCTTGGTCAGTGTTTCTTGACTCTCAAGTCTGGGCTGCTTTTTACCAACCCCAAGGCTGGTGCACTGGATACAGATGGGTGGGGCCTCAGCAGGTGCTGTGGTGGCTGCGGGCAGTGTCCTGCAGAGACCAGTGGATACCCCACTCCACTGCTGTCATCCCCTTTCTGTGGCCACAGGGAGCTGCCAAGATGCTACTGGATTCAGAACAGCACCCGGGCCAGCTCAAGGACAACGTCTGCTCTCCCGGTGGGGCTACTATCCATGCCTTGCATGTGCTGGAGAGTGGGGGCTTCCGCTCCCTTCTCATCAACGCTGTGGAGGCCTCCTGCATCCGCACACGGTGGGCCCCATTTCTGCCCACTCCTCACTCCCCACTCCAACACACCAGAGCTTTGGCCTTGCAGGCTGCAGCTCACTCATTCACTCAGCAGTTATTTGTTGAGCTGTGGCCTGCCTTTGGGCAGGACACAGGGAACTTCAAGGTTTAAGGAAGGGTCACAGTTTGCAGTGCCCTTCACCCCATTCTGTTGTGCTGTGAGGAGGTGGTGTCCGCATGTGGCTGGAGGACTTCTTTGGGCCTGCATACAGCGCCAACCCTCCCCCCCACCCCGCCACCGACCCCATGCAGTTTCATTTCATCATCATCACAGCTATGGAGCCAGGCCAGAGGGGCAGTGGTACATTAGGGATCCTCTAGAGTTCTTGCCAGGATTAAGTGAGCTAGATAAGATAGCGGCATCCTGGCACAAGTAAAGCTTAGTGAGAATTGGTGGTGGGGGAAAAACAACCAAGCTGCTCAGGATCCTGTAGCTGGCTAAGGTAGAGTCACTGCCCAAGTTCAGGTCTGCAGGGTGGACTGGCAGCATCTCTCTTGCCACACACAGTGTCCACCCTATAGTGTAAGCACCCACAGATTTCTGAGTGCCACCACATGACCCCAGGGCTGAGCTATAGGCTGCAGGGGAGACAATAGAAGGAAAAACATACCCCTCGCCAAGCAATGAGCGCTCAGGCTGCGGTTGCCAAGCCGCTAGTGGGCTGACCCTGAGCCATGGAGAATGGAGACAAGCTTTGGTGGGGAAAGGTATGGCTGGCAAAGGAGATTGCAGGTGCAAAACTCTGAGGTGGAGTGACTGCCCAGCACTACCTAAGGCTACTTGGTGTGGGAGCTGTGGGGTTTGGGAGGAGGTGGAGCCTAGGCCCAACACCTCACTACCTCTCCAGGGAGCTGCAGACCATGGCTGACCAGGAGACAGTCTCACCTGCTGCCATCAAGAAGACTGTTCTGGACAAGGTGAAGCTGGGATCCTCTGCAGGGCCCTCTCTGTCTTCTGGCCACACCAAGCCACTGCCCTGTAGCCTGGCCCCGGCAGGCAAGGACTGATGCATGCTGCTCACCACCTTCTGCTCTCCACTTGGTTTTTTTGAGACAGGGTCTCACTATGTAGTCCAGGCTGGCCTCAAATTTGAGATCCTCCTGTCTCAGCCTGTCAACTGCTAGTATTCCAGCCAGGCCTGTGCCACTATGCCTGACTCGTATTTGGTTTTGTGTTTTGAGAGGAGGGTCTCACCTGCTGCCATCAAGAAGACTGTTCGGACAAAAAGGTGAAGCTGGGAATCTCTGAGGCAGGGCCACTCTCTGTCTTCTGGCCACACCAAAGCCACTCCTGTAGCCTGGCCTCGGCAGGCAAGGACTGATGCATCGCTGTCTCACCACCTTCTTGCCTCTCCACATTGGTTTTTTTGAGACAAGGGTCTCACACTATGTTAATCCAAGCGTGGCCCTCAAATTTGAGATCCTCCTTGTTCGGCCTCCTCAATGCTAGTATTCCAGCCAGGCCTGTGCCACTATGCCTGACTCGTATTTGGTTTTGTGTTTTGAGAGGAGGTCTTACTGGCCTCAAACTCCTAGGCTCAAGTGATCCGTCTGCCTCAGACTGCCATACCACGCCACCTGGCCACTCCATTTTCCACTTAATGTTCCAGGATTGAGGCTACTGTCCTGGGGGGTCTCTAGCCTGAGGCCACAGAGAATACTCCTATAGCAGGCAGCTGCCCATGGCCAGGTCAGTCCAGGGGTCAGCTAGGGTCTTAGCCAGAGAGGGGCACATCTCTTACCACTGAGAATCTTCTAAGTGTCAGCCCAGAGCAAGGATGGCTTCCTCTGGAGCTTGGGCCTCCCCTTCCCTTTGGGTAGCTGATAGCTTTCCTTGGCTATCAGCACACTCAGGTCACCAGCTCCCATTCCTAACCTGACTGACTGGATGCTATCATTTTTCTCCCAACCCTTTAGGTTGAATAAATTGGTTTCTTCTTTCGTTCTCCTTTCCTTTCCCTTTCTTCCTTCTTCCGTTCCTAAACTCCCCAGTAACCCCTGAGTAAATTTACCCACCCTACGGAGAGAAGAGTCTCTGGTGTGTGCCAACACTGAGGGCCAGAGCCGCTGCAAGTCCTCTACATGTAGCTAGCCATGCTTAGGGCTGAGGTCACGGACCCCAGAAGGGCAGAGGAGAAGGAACTTGCAGGCCTCAGTCATCATAGACTTGCCTGGAAGCTGGTACCATAGGCAGAGATTGGCAGTTGGCTATGGGAAGGGGCACCCAGCCTCTATATCCTCCACCCCATCCAGCTGTCTGGGGTAGTCTCACCAACTGGTCCAGGCTACTCAGAGCCAGGTTCCTGGCAAGGAAAGAACCCTCCAGGGAGATATTGGGGTTCTCTAGAGAAACAGAACCAACAGGATACACATGTAGGCATAAAGGAAGAGTATAAAGAATTGGCCTTTTTGATGATAGTGACTCATAAGTCCAATTTGTGGGACAGGCTAGCGAGTTGGAGACCCTGACCCAGTACACAGGGCAAGCAATGTTCCAGCTCACAGACCAATAGGCAGGAAAAGTCATTTCAGATAAGTCTGAGGCTGCATGTTGGAGAACTCAGAGGGTTGATCTTTTTATTCTGTTCAGGCCTTCAACTGACTTGACAAGGTACACTGCTTTATTAATGCTACTCTTACCTAATGTGAAAACCTACTGATTTAGGGCTGGGGTGTGGCTCAAATGGTAGTGTCTACCTAACAAGTGTGAGGCTCTGAGTTCAAACACCAGAACCTGAAGAAAAAAAAAAAAAGTCTACTGATTTAAAAGCTAATGTCATGCAAACACATCCTTGCAGAAACACCCAGAATAATGTTGGACCGATGTCTGTGCACCCTTTGGCCCAGTCAAGGTAACACATAAAGTTATGAGGGTCCGCGAGATTGGAAGAGCTGCTGGGTTGCCAACAGCAGCAGATGTGCTCTTGTTTCTTCAGTTAACAAACAGTCACTGAATTTGGAGGCAGGAAGGTGAGGGCCCCTCTCTCCAGATGTGACATGCTCCCATAAGGGAAGCTGCGAGTGTGTAAGGTATGCAGGGGGACCACCAGGCAAGGTGCTCTCCCTCATGGGGCTGGAGAGCTTATAAAGCCCTAAAGGCAGGATCTCATTCTAGTTCTCCGCTTTCCCCTGGCCACTTCAGTACCAGGGCCAGTTGGGCACTTTGGGGACAAGAAGGCAGCTTACTGAATCTAAGAAAAGACATGTCCAGAGAGGAAAAATGGGAGGAAGTATGACAGCACAGGAGGGTAAGACCAAACAGTGACAATGGTGGCCTCCAGAGTCCTAGTTCTGCGTACTGAGCATCCCCCAGGTACAGACTCTAGGTGATGGTGAGTAGGATGGGATTTGACCACCCAGGAGGTGAGCTTGGGGGACACAGTCAGGGCCAGACCAAGAGGACCAGGTGGGTTGTCAGGATGGATTGTCTTCAGTCCCCTCCTGAGCCTGGGCCCCTGGCACAGTCCATGCTATCTGGGCAGAGGTGGGCACTGGGCTTGGCAATGAACTTCCTAGTGTCACAGCCATGAGCAGCCAGAATCATCCCTGCCCTGAGAGAGAGTGCTTGTCAATGTGGGGAGACCCTGGCAAGCTCGCCTGAGTAGCGGTGTCCCCAGAAGAGACTGTCCCAGAAGCCACATTCCTGCCCTAGGGCCTGCCTGTTCCTTTCGAGTCAAAGTCAGTCCCTGTTTGGGTACTGACTGGTAAGCAATGACCAATCAAATAATGCTCCCATCTAGACTTGGAAGAGAGGCATTTGTGCCAACCTCACCAGTGAAGACTGTGCCAGATTGGCAGGCAAGGTACCCCGAGTCCTGATTAAAGGAAAAGCCAGAGATGGGACTAGGTTATAGCCAGATGGAGCCTGAAGGATTGTGACATGGGTTGGGCAGGCTGCAGGTAGAAGAGTGCCAGAAAGCCACTGAGAGGGAGCACAGACCCCAGCCTGGCAGGGAACCGCTGTATTTTATGTGGATTTGGAGCAAGTTGAGCTCTGGGGGCTAAGAGACCTGGGAATGCTGGCTGTGAAGGGTTGCAGTGCCATCATGCAAAAGAGCCATCTCAGGGGCCTCATTGACCAAGGGTCAGCTGGACAGTATCTTATTGGCCCCATTGCTGCTAGCTCTGACACTTCCCAGCCCTGGAAACCACCAAAATGGAACAGAACTTGGGACAGTGGCTATGGGAGCCTGGTGGAAGAACAGGCCCCCTCTGATTAAATTACCCTCCACTTTTCCCTGACCTGCCCACTACTATCAATCTGTTCCCACGCCAGGCTGGCCTGTCTGTGTTTTTTGTGCAGGCCAGGTTTCAGAAGAATTGGGACAGCTGCCCCTGGCCAGGCAGAGAGGGGGACAGCCACCTGGGAGGGCTGGAATGGGCCCATCTCTCTGCTTGGAGAAAGAAAAAGTAGGGCTGGCCCCTGTCTGAGTGTGGATACCAGCCATGTCCCATGTGTCCTAAAGCCCCCCAGCCATGGAGGATCCAGTCCAGGCTAAAAGAGACTATGGGATTGGAAGACATTGGAGAGGTGTTTGCAGGAGGACAGCACCCAACAGCAGCAAGGAACAGGTGCTGGAGAAGGCCTTAGCAGGGAGCTTGAGTGTTGCCCCTGAGCCGTGCATGGCTCTCTCTCAATCTCTCTCTTTTTTTTTAGTGATAATGTGGTTTGAACTCAGGACTTCACACTTGCTAGGCAGGTGGTCACTTGAGCCACTTCACTTAGCCTTTTTTGTGTTAGGGTTTTTTTTCCCTCCCTGCGGTACTGGGGCTTGAACTCAGGGCCTATACCTTGAGCCACTCCACCAGCCTTTTTTTTTGTGTGTGTGTTAGATATTTTTGAGATAGGGTCTCATGAACTATTTGCCTGGGATGGCTTTGAACCAACATCCTCCTGACCTCTTCCTAAATAGCTAGGATTACAGGTGTGAATCACTAGCACCTGGCTGAGCCACAGTTCTTGAAGCTAGTCATGGAGATGCCTGTGTCATATTTGACAGGGTTGCTCCAAAACCTCTCTTCTTGCAGTGTTGCTCTGATGAGAAAAATAGTCCTGTAACTGCCCCAGTAGCTATATGGGCTTCACCCAAGCAAGGCTCCACCACTATTTTCAGGGTCAAGTGTCCTGGGGCCTATGTCAGGAGCTGGCTTGGGGCTCTCCGGCAGGTGAGATGAGTATTCTAGTGGCAGCTCTGCTCTTCATCAACTACAGATAGTCTTTAGGCTGTCTAGCTGGACCAGAGATAGTCCTGGGGGCTTGGCTGTTTTCATACAAATTCTCTTCTCCTTCAATAGCCCCACACATACAAATAAACCCAGCCATCACTGCTCTAGAGGTAGTCAGGACCTTACCCACCCTAAAGAAGATTCTGGAGCCTGGATTGTCTCTTGGAATGTGTTCCTCTGCATAAGTTCCAGAGGACAGGTTGGGCAACAGAACATGCAGCACCTGACCTCAGGGCCAATGCCAGGGTCCAGAGCTGTCTGTCTACAAGCAGCAGCCCTGCATCACAGAACCACCCTCCCCACTATTGCATTGAGCCCTCATTACGATTTGTAGGCCTTCTTTGTCGCCCTGGGTGGGTACATTCTCAAGACTTCCCCAAGAGGTAAAGAGGTGCCCATGGCTGTGTCCAGCAAGGAGGGGTAGTAAGACTCGTTTCTGAGAATGAAAGAAGATATAGCAGTAAACTTGATTCATAAATTAGTTTCTCGGTCACCTCCAACATGTAAATGACAGCCAGACTCAATGCATGAAGAGTGAAGTGCCAGGGGCATGGCAACATGAGAGGGGATCAGCTCAGTGATGGTCCATCCTGCAGCAGCCCCTTGCCCCAGGACCCATGGCCTGTATTTCCTTATGACACTTGAGCTGAAGGCACCAGGACAGGAAAGCACAATTAAACTGGTGGGGTCCTGATGTGACATTGCATCCTGTCAGGTCCCCACTGCATGGGCTGTGAACTCACAGTCCAGAGATGCACCCAGTTCACAGTCCCTTTGGGCAAGGAGAGCAAGGACAAGGAGAGCAGTTGATGGTTGCCCTCCTGAGCCAGCACCCACTGGTGAGGAGGAAGAAGAAGGGAATGCACTCAAACTTAGGGGCTAGGTTGGGGGTG